TCGGAGGCTTCTTCCCTGATGAATGACTCGGAGATCTCGCTTGGGAGGCCGAAAGCTTGGTTTCGAACGGTCGCGCCACCGATGTCGATTGTGTCCCTGCCAACTCCGCCCCGTGCGAAGGAGGAGTCTCCATAAGTGATGTTGAAGGTAGCGCCTTCGAGCAGCTGGAATGAATCGGATTTTGCGGGATCGAAAACTGAGTGTCCGACAGATACACTTGGTTCAAGTCTCGTGTTGAATACCCATCTATAGACAAATAAAATAAAAAATGTATATATATATCAGCTCATAACCCCATGTAAATGCAATTTTCTCTCTCTGTTTGTGGCATCACGATTCTCCATTCTTGGAGGCCACAGTATAAACGTACGTGTCTGACGAGCCAGTATCAAAGTTCATCACAAACTCCTGACCCCCGATTGTCACAGGGGCCAGGTACAAAACATCATTTTGCGCCGGCACATTGGTGACAGCGCCATTCTCATCTGGATCGTCTGCCTTGTTTACAGCCTGACGATCTGCTGCAGTTGGGTAAATGTTGACATCCAACGACCCAAAGTTGATGTCTGTAGCGATGATGCCAAACTTGGCGTATGCCTTCTTGATCGCAGAGAAACCATTAGGTACATAATCTGCCCGACGTATCCGATCGACTTTGAATGTTCGTTTCTTCAGCTGTGATCGTTGTGTGGGGGCCCCTAGCACGGCGGAGGAAGAGAGGAGGTATAGGTACAGTAGGGCCTGTATCCACTGCATCTTGCCCGTTTTGTATGAAAGGGGAGATATGACCACGAAAAGGAGATGGAGGAGAGGAATGGCTCAGGCCAACGAGATTGAAAGAATGGAAGATATGGACGATATTCACAGTAATGTAAATCGTGTCCAGGCACAATGACGCGAAGGAAGGTAAATAAGGAAATGTGCACCGCACACAAACACACACTGAAGGGGTATATAATGTATGAATGTGTGCACGCTCTCTGCACAACAAACAACAAACAGTGGAGTAAATAATATGAAAACTATGACACCCTGCAAGTCACAGAGAGGGGCAATCTTAATGGGAAAATGGAAGAGCAGGATAATTGAGGTGTTGGAATCATGAAGGGAATATTGAGAGAGACACAGAGAGAGACAGTGGATTGCCTCAGAAAGGAAGAAATAACCTTGTACAATATGAAGGAGAGCTAAAAAGACAAAGTGACAGAGCGAAAGCCAAGGAAACAGGAGGCTTTGATCAGGAATATTGTCCAAAAGCTATAAAGAAAGAAGAGAAAGAAAATAATACTTTTGAAATAAACCCGCCCAACCCCTCCCAGAGATATACCCATAAATAATATGATATCCCCTCTCCAGAAAAAAGCCGGAGAATATCCCCCAAAGTCTTTATTTATATGGATCTTCCCGAGCCGCCACACCCTGGCGCCAACAGCATGGATAACACCAGCAGAAAAGCCTCAGCCCGGTGCTATTAAGGCGTTGTCCTCGCATTACTTCCACATAAAACAACCAACATGGCCTTGCAAGTGCCCACACTTGTCTGACACGGTGCTAGCCAGGCCTTCTCGCGACGCCAGGGGCTGTTTGGCTTGAGAAACGTTAACCGCCTTGCTCTATTGGCCGGTCCTCTTCCGCTTGTTCTTCATCGTCCAGCGCTGATATCCCCGTCCAGGAGGCATCATATTTAATATCCCAGCCATTCAGGTGCGAAGAAAGGCCCATTAGCAACTTGCCTCCTTGTCCTATCTGGCTCGGCTGGGCGCATGATTTGCCTCTCACCGGAGGCTCCATGTTTGTGTTGTTGAATAATGGAGCGGGAATGAGAAATAAAGGGACGTTAATAAGAGAGTCGTTGTGGCGCGTTGGTGGCTGGTGACAACTGAACAAAAAGTAATCTTGAAAGTTTTGCGCCTGGGGATAACCCCTCACCATGCAGAGCCTGAACAGCACACAGTGTATGTTACCTCCGGTTGCGGCTTCCAATGAGCATCCTGAGCCGGTTGGGTGGAGTCTTGTCCAAAACAGTGAGCGATTGAAACAACTCTCCTTGAACGATACTGGCGGGCAAATCAAGAGGCGTCAAGTCAAAGCAGTGCACCCATCCTGAGACGCCATACCCAGCCCCTCACTGTTTCATAGTCAGGCTCTCAAACAATGCCATTCTTATGTTCAAAGCGAGCGCTTGAATCCCTCGGACTTAGCAATATTAAATTGCCAGCGGAATTCCGAATGAGTTTCATTTCAACATCCAGCTCTTCCTCAAGGTTGATGTATCCATGCTTACTTCCAAGGTTACGAAGACTAAGTTGCTCCTGCTCGCCCCAGCAGGATTTGGAGGTAAAATTAAGCGATTTCTGACCTCCAAAATCTCCTGTACTTCTTCTGAAGAAACAAGGTGAAGTTCTCCATGGCGTGATGCATACTATGGAACAACAACGCGCTCACAGTCGGCGAGCGACTTGCAGGGCCGGCTACTTACGCCATACTCTGCTATCTATGCCCATCTAGATCATGCATAAACATTGTTGTAGGATGTGGTAGGAGGGAAGGCTCCCCGCTGCCACAAGGGGTTAGGTATACAGATCGTGGATACGGTCTTTTCACATTCCCCGATTACGTATAGCTAACGGGGCTACTTTCTAACAATAAAATGGGTATATCTTTCTGTATTAGAGTGTAGTGTGCTGGATTTATTCGATTCATTGTCCCTGTCGTGTTATAATACAATACATCGAAATGGGAGGGGAGAGAGACGACTTCTCAGGTGTACATATTTCCCAAACGCCATGCTGCTGTTGCAAATGCCCTAGGTATCATTATGTTGATTCCCCAAAAAACGCCACCTTCAGATTCCCAAAATGCAATGCGCTACGCCTTATCCCGAAAAGCAAGCCATGCGAGGAAAGAACGTAAAAAATAATTAATTCTAAATTTGCCCAGCATCAGGAAGAACCTCATCAGGATCTTCCCCGATAAACTTCCCAATGCTCCTCACCACCTTTCTCAAGGCAGCAGACGCAGGGCTATCTGGGAAGTTATCCATGAAACTCTCCCCGAAATCGCAGGCCATCCCCACCCTCGGGTCCAGCGGCACAGCGCCCAAGAACGGAATACCCATCTCCTTCGCCAGCCTCGCGCCACCACCTGTCGTAGCACGGAAGATCTGGGACTCATGCGTACACTTGGGGCACACAAAGCCAGACATATTTTCGACGAGCCCCAGTATGCGGATCCCAGCCTTCCGGCAGAAGTCAATCTCTTTCCTGACATCCAACAACGACATCTCCTGCGGCGTGGTAACCACCACCGCCCCGTCCACGCCCGATTCCTTCAGGAAGGAGTTCACCGACAGATGCTCATCCGACGTGCCCGGCGGCGTATCAACGATCAGATAATCCATCTCCCCCCACTCAACGTCCTTCAGAAACTGCTTGATGAGCCCGTTCTTCTTCGGACCCCGCCAGATCACCGCATCGTCGCGGTTCGGTAACATGAACTGCACGCTCATCACGGACAGGTTATCCGACACCCACACGGGATTCCAGCCCGCGTTGGTGATGTGGATCGTCTCCGCTTCAACGCCCATCATCTTCGGTATCGACGGCCCGCAGATATCGGTGTCCATGATGCCGACCGTCGATGCGGGGTTGGATGCGAAGGCCTGCGCGAGCAGCGAGGAGAAGGTGGATTTGCCCACGCCGCCTTTTCCAGACAGAACGAGGATTTTATGTCGTATTGAGGAGAGGCGGGCGGTTATTACTGGGATGTCGGGGTCGGGGCCTTTAGGCGCGGCGGCACAGATGGCCTGGTTCGGACAGCCGTTGCATGCATCGCTTTTGCCTGCTTGTTCGGATTCAGGCCCCGGGCAGTGTTCTAGAGTGAAGGATTTGTGTTAGGGTGGGACGGTATGGAGCCTTTAGAGAAAGGGGTTTTATTTTACCAACGTACCTGGTTCAGGGGCGACGAGTTTGGGAGCTGCTTTGGATAATGCGTTGAGTGCGGGGGCTGGCTCCTGCATCAATGGAGCCATGTTTATCGTTCTCAAGGTAGCCCAGTGATTTCGTTTGTGCTTGTTCGTTTTATATAGAGAGGGTAATGGGTTCTCTTTAGAAAATAAACACAGCTGGATTATGCTTGTGGCCTGTTCTGATTGATGTCTGGCAGATGATGCCGCAGTCAGCTTTAAGTTATTATATTTGTCGCTGCCAGGAACTTTTTTTTGGTGGCGGAGAAGCATAGGAGGGGCATTACTAATCCACATGGCCTGTGCTCCGGCTCAAGTTCCGAGCGCGGAGTCATGCAAATACCAAAATGACGGCACACAGCATCATATCATGAAATAATACGCAGCGTAGATATGCATTCCAGAACCCTGATAATTTGTCGGATGCAATTCCTCCTGAATGGGTGCACCTAAGTTTTGAGTCATAACCATGCCAAACGCGCTCACTAATGGGAGGTAGTGAGATGCGCTTGGTACGGTTATTGTGTAGTGTTCATTCGCCTTTTGCTTTGCCTTGTTCTGTGCTGACTGGGATCTGTACGGAAGGTGATATCTCCTAGAAAGATATAAGCTTCTGTCGATTTCCAGAGTAAATATCAGTAGCTCTGTACAGTGATGGTTACCTCATGAAGTTCGAGAAACCTTAGCATGAGAAAAACGATATCATGCTGCTTGACTCCCCTGAAAGCGACGCTAGAAACCCATCCATCATGCCTTCGCAGCTTATCGTGCCTTCCTGCGTATTTATCAAAAGCGACTGGGTCTCTCAAGCTATCATTCAGCTGGAGGCACAGCAAATCACGAGCCGTCCGAACTCAATAAGCTGCAACCGGATAAACCATGAAGCTGCAAGCCCTAACAGCAAAGACCAGCGCAGTGCCTGTGCTCAACTCGTAGCTCCCTGTTTGAAACACGACCGGGGAGAAATCCAGCAAAATGTACTCCGTACCGGGTTCTAATTTGCCTTTTTTTCTCTATTCCGTCCTAGAGCCTTGAGCTATGACGCGCTTGATTGTTGAGGTTGAGAGGCTTTCACATGCTGGCCCCAGAGGAGGACCATCGGGTGACGACTCTGACGAGAGTCTTCTGGCGGCTTGATTTCTCCCTCCGTCCACTGCGTCCAGTCGGGCTGTTGGCTGCTGGATCCCGCCAGTAGCGCGAGAAAACTAAACTGCCACTAATGCAGAACGACAGCCAGTCAGTGCAACTCAAGGGATGTTCAATTGGATCATTATTGGCTCACCATCTGTCCCTGGCGCTGGCAGGCAAGAAAAATCCACAAAGTTACAGACAGAAAATCCACAAGCATAATTCCTATCCTCTCCGATCTTGTGTAAATCCTGATCAATGGGTGATATTTTGACTTTCATGCCAGCATCATTAACACCAGCGCTCTGGGGGCTTTGAGACGATGAATTGCCGTCCCCGAAATGCTTGGATAGGGCCTGTAGAGTAGGATCCAGTTAAGCGAGGAGTTTTGACTGACATCATTTCTCTGCTTGTCAGCAGCCTCGAACGTGATTCGTTCCTGTATAAGTAGAACTCGCACAGGCATCGTTGTGCTCTCCACACTACTAGAAAACGGGGTGGAACACATCTCATGAGTTTGTCGAATCAGAGGCTATTCTGTTACTGGGAACTCCCAGCATACCCAGCAATAGCAGATTTCGACGATAATTTGCTTCGTCCTCTGTTATCCTCGCGAGACAGGGTTTGTCGTGGTTGTGGTTGGTGACACTGTTGTTGTTCTACTGCTACCATCGCAGCGGGGCGTGAACATAAGTTGACCAGCTAAATACACCTTCCAACACCAGTTGAAGACCCGAAGCACCACTCTTTTTTTCCCACGACAACGCTCACGACCCTCCCAACCAACGACTTTGTGCCTCAACGCTTCCGAGTCAATTCAACTTGACTTCTTCGCTCACCTCTCGCGGGTTGACGCTTCTGCACCGTTGCTCCCGCCTTGACGACGACGGACTACCGCATCAACTATGAGTGAACAGGCGACCTCGTCAGGACTTGAATCCCGTTCGAACGGGCTTCGTGAACGGAATTTGCAAGCATCAAAATCTGCCGCTGACAGGGATGTGGCTTCACAGTCTCTAGAGGACAAGCTACAGGTTGAAGAAGGGGAGGCGGATACAGAGAAGAAGACTTTTGGCAGAACCCCAGATGGCACAGGTAAGCTCCCTCGCTTCCAAGTCTCGCTGAATGATTATGACCAAGTGGAAGATATTCCATAAATACCACGGAAATAGACTGTGCCTGAGCCTTTAGAGCCCCTGCGATGTGGCTAGTGACATTTCACATTGATCTGCCCCGGACAAATAAAAAATCTTGGAGCTATTTCACGGCAAAAACGAACCATATATGGCTTGCTAATGCTAAATGACATCAAACTACAGTCTTCACCGTGCCTCCCACCCGTGATATGGTATCGCAGCTACTTTCCCCTTCAGAACCAAAGAACATATCCGATATCTTCGTTCTCGCTATTCTCGGCTGCCATATCCTTCTCCTATGGTTTCTTCCCTCCTCGTTCCGGGTCGCAGCTTTTGCCGTGATATTCCTGTTCTGGCGTGCTTCTTACAATATCGGGATAGGATGGCTCCTACACATGCAATCAAACGGCCGGACATTGGTCTGTTGGGCGAAAAAGTCAAACATCTTCGTGAACCCATCCACCGGCCAAAACCCCCATCCGACCTTGTACAAGTTGCTCAAGTGGGAATTGGAAACAAAAATATCGGAACAGTACTCTTTCGAGGAAGCCCCCACAGAATATAACACCTGGCTTGTATTTAGACGTGTTGTCGACCTGATTCTGATGTGTGACTTTACTTCATACTGCCTGTTCGCAATCGCCTGCGGTGGTCGCCCTACTGGAGAAAGTTTCATCATGCTGGCTTTGAGATGGATTACAGGGATGAGCTTGGTGCTCTTTAATCTCTGGGTCAAGTTGGACGCTCATCGGGTAGTCAAGGACTTTGCATGGTACTGGGGAGATTTCTTTTATCTCATCGATCAGGATCTCACTTTCGACGGTGTTTTTGAAATGGCCCCCCATCCTATGTATTCGGTTGGCTACGCGGGATATTACGGTATCTCCTTGATGGCAGCTAGTTATAAAATCCTCTTTATTTCCATCCTGGCACATGCCGCTCAGTTTGCGTTCCTCGTTCTAGTCGAAAATCCCCATATCGAGAAAACATACAATGCTCCCCCGCCTCGAAAGAGAGTTGCCGACACAGATACGAAGCCACAAGAGGACGAAAACTCGCATGAAGGTTCAGTCGTCAGCGACACCCTTAGCTCGGCACCAGTCATCCCTCCCTTGCAACCTTCGTCGATGCATAGCCTTTTAGGGCTTCACAATATCGACCTGTATCGGAGTACGGACCAATCCGTGCTCTTAGCCCAGGTGCTCTTCTTTGCCCTCACAACTCTGACTCCATCGACTCCTGTGTATCAATTTTGCTTCGTCCTTAACGCTGCCCTATGGAGGATCTGGTATTCCGTGGGTATTGGTTACATACTCAATCGCCAATCAAACTGCAAAATGTGGACAAGACACTTCGTGAAGTATGGAGAAAGCAACCATGAAGCTTGGCGACAATGGAAAGGCACATATCATTTGAGCATGACCATGACATATGCGAGCTTCATCGCTGCTGCCTGGAAGATGTACTCCTTTCCACAGGACTGGCGGTACGGACTTGTTCTCTTAAGGCATATCCTAGGGGCAAGCTTGATCGCCCTCCAAATTTGGACATCTACTAGCATTTACGAATCCCTTGGCGAGTTTGGATGGTTTTTTGGAGATTTCTTCTTCGATGAGTTCCCCAAACTTACCTATAGTGGAATTTACCGGTTCTTGAATAATCCGGAGCGCGTCCTTGGTTTAGCAGGCGTATGGGGTGCAGTTTTGATCACTAGTACCAAATCCGTCGTTTTCCTTGCACTACTAAGCCATACATTAACTCTTGCATTCATCCAACTGGTCGAGCGCCCCCATATGCAAAAACTCTATGGGCAGAGCCTACGACGAGATGCGGGTCTCGTTAGGAGTCTGAAGCGTTCATTGCCTCCCTCTCTTAAGCAAATTCATGGCAGTGTGGACAAAATACTCGATGACTCATTTGAATTTATTGAAGAGTTCATAGAAGCTGCCCGGCCTAAACTTGCCGCTGGTGTTCAGACTTTCGTGAAAGATACTTCTGCCTTGTTTCAGAAGTACCCGGCACGAGTCACTATTTCTCGCCTTGAACCGGACCTGGCTGGTTATGATCTGAAAGACTATTCTATTACATTAGAAGGAACCCAACCTTCTCGGCCAGCACAATTTGAAAGAGCCAGTGATAAGGAAGGCGAAAGAGCACGATCTATGCCATACAGGAGGGGCGAGCAGGAAAACCTCATGTTCGAATACGGTGCTCCGATTAAAGTCAAATGGACCGCGCCATTGAACCACAGCAAGAAGGATTGGGTTGGTCTCTACATGGTTACCGATAATACCTCGCGGGAAGTCACACGAGTATCTTCTCAGGGCCGATGGATCGCCACCAATCAAGCTTCTTTCGATTCTGAGACATGCGAGCAAGGGCTGATCTCGAGTGACATTGTTTTGAAAAGCTCTCGTGATGATGGTGAACCGAGAGATGTTGCATCTGGAGAAATGGTTTTCTCGGGCGATAAACTATGGTGGACTCAAGGTGTCTTCGAATTTAGATACCATCACAACGGCAAGCATAATGTCATGGCTGTATCACGCCCTTTTGAAATCTGCATCGGAAGATTCGACGAGGATGACATTGAAGTCGATAACTACGGGCTTGTCAGGGCTGCTGTCGAAGCAGCTCTCCTCCCTGTTGTCCAAAATTGTTTCGACAGAGACCCAGAAATCGCTCCGCAGACTGTCGAAGAACATTATGGTTGCCTAGTTGACAGGGATGGGAAGTACTCAAAGAGGGTGGTCTTTGCCGTTCATCACATGTAAGAGATCTAATAGTTGGGGAATTCCGGCTGAGCAGCTCAACGTCAATACTAACGTACGATTCAGGTTCGGTATCGAATTTGCCCCTGAAGTTGTCCGGGCCGATGGAAATATCCGAAACTTGGCATGGCGGATATGCAACGCCAAGAAAGTTCTGGTATGTATTCTTACCTTCAGGAACCCTTTGGTGGCTGTCGCACATTCCTTCTTGTTCAAATTTTCGTACAACTAAGAGGACTGACGAGTATCTACCAATTTAGGCTCCATATAGTATGTCACGCTCCAACGGAGCCTCGACACCAACGGCGGCACATGAGGAGGATTAGGCCCTTACTGGTCCTAATGAATGATAAATAACGATGAAGATGAATCTCATGGATATTTTTTGTCCTCTGCGTCTTCACTTACCATATATACTAAAACGCTGTTCTTTCGCGACGATACTATATCGTCGATATACCGGAGTCAATCTGTCCTACTGCATGCCCCAAGCAGAACAACGAGCGCCTAAGGGCACTAAAGGACAAAATAGTTAATAGAAGAAAGAGGGGTGACTTTATTTAGACTTGTGTGGGCGGAAGCAACATTTTTATCCATCTTCGGCTACTGATCGGCGCCGCTATTACTTTCTTTCAGTCATTGCTTTCCCAGCAAACACGAAACCACTGGATTGTGTGGTTATTATATTTGGTTTTTTTTAGAAAGGGGGATGGAGTTTTCTTCTGGCAGAGTGGTCGAGGGTCTTTGGTTCTAACCATTTTATAAACTTATGCGCCATCTCACATGCATGTATATACACACATACAGGCGCAGCGCAGAACATATTACGAACGAAAAATCAGCTTGGTATATACAGAGTACATAGTTTACGCATAGATATGAAACGGTGACGCGAATTTATACGATATTATGATGAAATATATAATTCAGCGTCAAAAACGGACTAGAATGAACAATATGGAAGCTTATTTAGTAATAGAATCACAACGCCCTGTATAAACCCAGAACCTCCCAGTCAGCTACTGATTATCGACGATATACCAATGAGTTCAAATCAATCTCCGAGCACTGGCGTAACAATGATCAAAAAGCTGAGAAGAACTAAAAATGACAGGCGGCAAAAACGAGGGGATTTCGGGGATGTGATATATTCAGCAAAGCCATGAACTCATCCCTTCTCCCATCCCGACACCATCCTCAGGAAAAAGAACGGACCCAAGACGAGCCGTTCCCCCAAGAGACGATCGGATGAGCAAATCAATAAAGAAAAATAAAAAAAAAGAGGGGGACAAGAGGAAAAGCCAAAGAAAAATAAGAATGGTGGGTAAGGGTTTTTTACCACCCGGCCCCCCCAAAAAAACCTCTTCGATAAAACACCAACAAAGCTCCACAACCGATCATTCCTCTTCCTTTTTACCCATTTCCGTCGAACAGCTCCAGTTGTATACGAGAGACGTCAACGGAAAGTAAATGAAAAAGGAAAAAGTCCGGTATAGGGAGAGTGGGGAGATGCGGAAGAGTAGCTCGTTTTTCTTCTTCTGCTTCTTCTTTCCTTCCTGCGTTCTTTTTCCTTTCCTTCATGAAAGAAGGGTGCTCCGTAAGGAGACTCGTGGAATGGATTGACTTATTGTCATCATGAAGTTTTGGTCTGGTTGGGAGTGGGCTGATGCAAGGGGTTTTTTTCAAAGGGAGATAGATACTAACATTGAGAGTGATAGATGGGGAGATACTGCTATGTTAGTTCACTCGCCGTGGAATGAGATCAAAGAAGACTATCTGAAATATCCCAAAGGCTTGTTAGCTAGATTCTTGAAAATTTCATGCAAAGAACAAGTTTTGACGGATTGGCATATGGATCAGGATCGTTATTTTTGGTAAATGTTTTTTCTTCAATGATTTTGCAGAAGCAGAACTGAATAGAAGGTTTCTCATCATAGTAAAGGTGGAGGTTAGATCAAAGGGTGGGGGAAATATTTTATACCTTTTTCAGCCCTTCGCTCTTGACGGTTAATCAACTACCCCCTTGATAGACATGCTCAAACACACAACAAAAGTGAATCCTATTTCTTGACATGCTATTAGCGCAGTCCACAAAGAAACTCAATAAGAATAGTGGTATGGGTACAGAGAAGTGTCAGATGGTAGTGCATGTTGTTCATATGGCTCACGGAAGAATCTCCGAACAAAGTTTTGGAAGGTTTTCCTCCTGTAGATGTTGGATGGAACAAATTGGAAATGGGACAGAGACTTACTATACGAAATAACAATATCATCCCTTGGCTACGCTCTCACCACATAGTCATCTTTGCTTCATCTAGCACAGAGTAGCTAATAGTGATGCTGGTGTGGAATTTCTGAAAGGTGCAAGGGAAAAAGAGAAGAAAGGATGGGGAGACGAAGAAAAATCAATAACTCAGAGTGCGGAGCTAAGCGGCGTCGGTTAAATATTGCTCCGTCAGACTGTCAAACAGTGCAAACACCTACATTTGATATTTTGAATTTCAAAGCCGACGATGAAGAGGAAGGCCAGAAGAAATAGCTTCCATTGTTCCCACTAGATTGGATTTTAATCTTTTCATACTTGCTTTGATTGACTGGGAGATTTATCATGGCTGATAAGAGACGAATAAATGGACCTCCTGGGAGCACACGACCACCAGTGTTTGCGTCATCGTTACTTTCCTCCGACGGCCAACGTTCAGTCGCTCTCGAGCGCCCCATACGTACTAGAAAACCAGACGAACTGAGAAAAATATGTAAGTTTATTACAAACGTCATGAAGCTGATGGATATGAGCTAATTATTTTCGCACAAATAGTTTTAAAGACGGGTCTGATCCCATCCGCTTCTGGGTCCGCATACCTTGAATTTCAGCCCTCCGCAATCCTCCACCGGTCGAAATCGAAAACGCTCATTCCCCCATCCTCCTCTCTAAAACTCACTTGTTCTGTCCATGGACCAAAGCCTCTCCCCCGCTCAGCACCATTCTCCCCCAACCTCCTCCTCTCCACACATGTGAAATTCGCACCATTTGCATCCCGACGAAGGAGGGGTTATATCCGGGATGTCAATGAGAGGGATCTTGGCGTACACCTCGAAACTGCTTTGAGGGGAGTTATAATAGGGGAAAGATGGCCAAAGAGCGGGCTGGATATCACAGTGACGGTACTAGAGGGGGAAGACGACCGTTGGTGGGGCGATGTTCTGTCCTCCGGCCCACTGGGAGGTATAGATGGTTGGGGTTTGATGAATGTTCTCGCGGGTTGCATCACCGTCGCCTCAGCAGCAATTGCTGACGCTCGGATAGATTGCATGGATCTTATTACTGGCGGAATTGCTGCTTTTGTGGAGAACCCGGACGTTGACACTTCAGAGAGAGCAAATACCTCGTCCAAGAAAGGCCGTGGCCAGTCGCTAGTATTGGATCCGGACCCGTCCGAACACCAAGTAATTGTGTCCGCCTGTGTTGTGGGATACATGCCATCCCGCGACGAGATTACCGAACTATGGCTCAAGGGCGACACCTCAAATATATCCGCTGGGTCGCAGAGTCCATCCGCAAGTCATGAAGCGCTAATAGATGCAGCTGTTGACGCGGCGCGGGGAGCACAGGCCGTTCTTGCGGAAGCTGTTAGAGAGTCAGCGGAGCGTTTTGCTATACACGCAGGCAAAAAGCTAGCTTTGTCTGCCCCGGATACAGAAGATGTTGAAATGAAGTTATAGAAAGGATTTGTAATGACTTTACGATCAGTTCGTCCCTGTACAATGGACAAGTTTATTCTTCATGTGTTTGCCATAATGCACATTCACAACTGGCTATATCCTAGCCAATGACTATTTATTTAAGCCCTATATACTCCCTTTCCTATCTTGTTACAAAAACAGGGTATTTCTTTATCATCAATGCTGAGGACAGTGTATGATCAGAGGAACAAACTCAGATATATACAGATACCCAGGCTAGCTGCAGTGCATTGCTGCACTTGTTTTGTTATGCTAGTTACTCAATTACTACCTAACACTAATCGTTCTGTGTTCTTGTTCTGTCCACTCACCTCCGGTTCTGTAGATACCCATCTTTTCCATCCTTGCGTTTTCGCCCCTCACTCCCCTTCACTCCAGCCCATACCACCTTTCTTTCATCTTCATCATTCTCCGATTCTGTTTTCCTCAACCAATTCAAGATTCATCAATATCTACTGGAGCACCTCTATTTTAAGCTAGCCCCCTACTACAAATTAAGGGGCTTTGTAAGATATCCATTGGGAATCACCACACCAGCCTTGTGCTCACGAGAGACATTGTTCAGGTATGCCTTCCAAAACCCAGGCCGATGTGAACCTCTGGTTCTTATATACCTGTCTTCAAAAGTCTGACTACAAGACGGTGAGTCTCCGTTTTCTCTCCCTATGTATCCCCTGTGGCATTCCTGGGCGATGGCAACATTTCGAATTTCGAATTTCCCTTTTCCCATCTACTATGCTTAGAAAAATTGCTTTCTTATATAGGTTGGTTATTAATAGGAGAATGCATGGTACAGATCGATTTCAACGCCGTGGGAGAGGCGACCAGCCTGAACCCTCCTGCTGCTCGCATGCGCTTTTCCCGTCTCAAGAAAGCAATCGAAACTGGTACAACCAATTCCATCATGTCCACTGAAAGGCCCTGTCAATATATTGGCATCGTTGGGAAGTCGAAACAACAGGGCAAACCTTGTCAGAGGAAATCGAAAGGGAGCATTGTTAAGAAAGAAAACCAGATGCAGAATTCGGGTTATCCAATAGATAAACCAATAAAGGCGAATACAGAAATGGGGATGGAATCCTATCCGATGATCTATGATCAGCAAGGGATAAGGCGGAGTTTCTCCAGTGGTCAACATGAAGCAGACGATGGAGATACAGATGACGATATTCCATTGGCCACCAAACGGAAAGCAGCTCAAGATAGGGAAGCCAACAAGAGGCAGAAGCAAAGGAGCGTCTCATGTCCCGCGGGAATCAAGGATGAGCCGACTTCTAACGATACAAACCATGCTGAAACTCATGGCTCGAACAATACAGTTCCAAACGAAGAACTGATAGCATTGGACAGCATACCCTCAATAGACGCGTGTAAACAAATCCCATACAGCCACAGGTACACCACCACTAACATGAGCATGACGCTTGCTCCTCCGGTTCTTACCACGACCCTTCAGGACATGACACCCAGGTACATTTCAGCCTTCACCAACGCCGACAGCAACAACAGCAGCAGCAACAACAACAACAACAACAACAACAACAACAACAACAACAACAACAACAGCAACAACCACAACCAGTTTACGAGCAGAGCTCCACAACAACATGGCTTTTCCTATGACCCATATTGGAGTTCATGGCCGTCCACAGTCTCCCAAATGACCCATCCGCGAGATCCTTATGCTTCCCGATCCCTATCAGCCCGTACATCCGGCTACGTCCGCTCCCCCGCCATTGGCCAAAATAGCTCCATTCCCCCTTGGACAAAATACCGGATTCCGAACATCACCATCACCGACACGGATCCATACGGGGTACGCAATCCGCTGTGCCCTGGCAGCACCAATGCGCTGGACAAGGTCCATATGGCCATTAATGAAGCACTCTTCAGTCCGGGCTCTAAGGCGTTTGACCGCAGCTATGCCGGCACCATAGAGACAAACGATGTTTCCAGACGACTAGATAACGACTGGGGTGGTGATAGTGGGGGGAATTAGATTCTGAATCTTTGGGAGTTTACCCCGTCTTCTTGTTCTGCTGCCTTGTTTTAAGTGACTGTTGCGATTTGTTGCAATTTTTCTTTCCTTCTTCCAATTATAGGGTGAGAGGTTAACCGAAACTTGGAAGGCGTTGCAACCCCGGATTTGTAAGGAGTAGATGGAGCGAACGTGAAGAAAGAGGAAAAGAATAATTATTTCCAGCCGAAATAATCTTATAGCTCTAGTCCTCGTGCTTGGGGCTTCGAAAAGCTCTTGTCATTTTTCGCTAAGCCAGTCAGTCAAGGGACGGAGAATGAGACTCCTAGCTTCCTCATTCTCATGGATTGATCGCGCTTTGATCTCCCAAGCATGGAACTCCTTTTGTCAAATGTTCACAGGCATCGCGTGTAAAATTTCCAATTGAGATACAAATGGCGCATGGTAATGGCACCGTTAGTACGTTCATCTTTTCAATGGGACTCATTCCCAGAGGTCCTGTCCTAAGCACCTCTTCCAAATTACAGGTATCATTATCCATAATTCTCCCATAACTGGCAAACACTTCTGTCGGCACTTGAGGTCTCATTAGCCTTGAAGTAGGGTTTAATGATTCAGGCTTACTTAGTGATACATGCGTCCCAGTTTGCAATGGATAAACCCAACTCTCTTTGCAATGATGCATTGGATTGTTGACGCGCCTGCAGGAATGGCTAGGTGATGTACTCTTTTATCCAAGAGATTGTGTATTCGGTCCGGGGCACTAGCTATGGAGGAATCCAATGGGAGCTAAACATAAATAAATGAACAGAAACACAAGGCAGTCACTGTTCAGTCCAGATTGAGATTGTGGAAATAGATACAAAAATAATTATTTGATCAATCACCTTGCACAGCACATGGGATCCTTGTCCACCCTAAATATAAGTTAAAAACAAAGACGCAAAGCCGGGCAGGGGTCATTAGCAATGTAAAGATCATGCGCGAATGCGCTTCCCATTCCCATTTGCTAATGGCTTCCGCAATTGGGGACTTCATGAATCATGGATGGGAATAATGGAGCTGCGGTATCCCGCTGGCTTGACATCGCTGATTGTCGACATGAGCCCCTCCCCGCTGGATCCCGATGAGAAGGCGGTCCGAGAGGGCATCCGTGGGCCTTCTTCTGACAGTGGCCGGGGTGTCTGCTGAGGAATTCATTCAATCAATCGGGCATTGGGATTCCTGCTTCTGATGCGCGTCGCGCGGGTTGTCTCCCCTTCTTGTCGCCGTCAAAGTTTTATGATCAGGGATCGTTGCAAGGATCAGGGTATGTCCGAAAAGGTCAGGGGGAGGGAGGCGCATGCATAAAAGAGCTTCTATGTTGATAGTCACAGGGATCGCGCATGACTATTCGCCCTACGAAGTACAAGAAATAGACGAAGTGACGCGATGCACCGAAGCATATGGGGAAACGCGTGGAAGTCGGGATGGAAGCGACTCTGTACAACCCAACAGGATGCAAGGATCTTCCTGTCGTGTACGAAGTACGGAGCAAGGCCTAAGAAGCGATTACTCCGTATGGTCGTGAGACATCACACATTAACAAACTCCGCCATGCTGGGGTAAAGGTAGCGTGCGAATGTCGTCAAGGGGAAATTCCGCGATCTACCTAGGTATATCCAACATTGCTCGATTAGGAAATCGGGCACACCAGGGCTTAACCTCAACCTCTCTCTCACCAACAGAATCCTCTCGTTCCCGACAGCTCCAACACAACCTGGCTGCCGCCATCTATGTTAAACACTCTGCACCCACCTGCATACCTACCATCAACATCCAACATCACCCCTATCTTTTGAGATTTTATTCTAGCCCTTTTTGGAGTTCTCTAGCGTCACTTTTAGTGTTGAGACTGGTTTGTGATAAATTTTCTTCCGCAAAGCTAACTTCTCCAGCCCAGCAAATCGGGTGGCCTGAAGGTCATCACCCTTCTCAATAACGCGGTTCACCTTTATTAGCTTATTCAGGATCACCTACGGAGTACAAATACGAAGAATGAATGCACAAGCTCAATGATAAAATGTCCAAGATACAGAATTTAGCGAAAACCACGGGAATGGACGCGAAATAATAGAGTAAATATGAGGAGAACAAAAAGGAGACCAGCAGATCTTCTTCAACGTCTGGGCTCTGCCAATTGGCCAATGGGGAGGACATACTCCGTACAGATGCATCCTTCTTGAGGATTGATCCCAAACAGTGGAGCCACCAGCCGCGAAAACAGACTGAGCATTGAACATTGAGCAATGAGCACTGATCAATGGAAGTCAGCCCATGCCAAGCCGCTTTCACAAGGAAACAGCCTGAGGATGCAACCGTTGACGCCGTTCCTGGCCCGTTCCTAGGCCCCACCTACTGCTGGGCTTATGTCTTGAAGTTGTCACGCTGGTGTGGACCGCTTTCACCTTTTTTAGGCGTGAAAAATGGCACGCCCCCCCAGCAGGCTGGTTGGACCGGTAATTCTGGGGGTCCCTGTCCAGAAAATCCCCCTGAGATGACTTCTAAGCCTCGTACTCTGTGCTCGACGCGCCAATCGATGGTTCAGCTTGACAAAAAAAAGAGATGTCGGCCTATTCCCCACTGATTTGACCCCCGGAATCAATCGGCCAACTTTCAATTCGCCAATCAGGGACCTTTGACAGACCCTTTCTTTGCTTCCATCTGAGCTTTGAGCCAGGGCTTTTGTGCCAGTCCTCTGCTTCGAAAACACCATCCCCGACATGAGGTTCCAAGGTTCAATTGTTCTCTTTTGAAACGGGGGATTTCTTTCTTTTCTTGCTTTTTTTTTCTTTTTTCTTTTTTCTTTTTTCTTTTTTTTTTCTTGGACACTCGGTTTGCGGTCAATACTCTCTTTTCCTTCACTCGTGACTTTCTTTTTTACTCTATTTTGTTATAAAAAAAAAAAAAAAAAAAAAAAAAAAAATCCTTGCGGTTCCAACATTTTTGCATAATCTAGTTTCGAAGGTCTCCTAGAAATAAAACAAACCGGCAAGCAAGTTCCCGTCGCCAACTATTGTAATTCTACTTTCCTTGGTTTAATCGAGGTGCACCGAAATGACTCTCCGATAAGTCTCTTCCGATGAGCCAGTTGGCGACATTCCCCCCTTCAATTGGAACCATTGACTTCATTCGGCTTCCTACAATGTCCAATTGGGAAAGAATGGAGAGCCTAAGAAAGCTTTTCAATGTCGAGAGGACACTGTTCCACTCGACAAGTCCCGAATTGACTGTGAGCGAGTCTAGCGATCCAGTAAACGGCACCTGTTCCCCATGCCTTATCTCGCCGCACGGATCGCCTGAAACGAAACTCCCTCGGCTTCCACAAATGCAAAACCTGACTTTCTACGGGATTGAGAGGCAATTCGAAGACCTCCATGATCAGTTTTGCTGTCGCACATCACCGGCCCTGCAAAATAAACGAGTTAAAAACACTGAATCTCACCCCCCTCCTCACTCGAGCCGGCGTCATGTCGATGTTATAGAAGCCAGCTTCCCGGCCCAACACGCCCGACTCCCGACTCCCATATCTCCAGCGAGTATGTATAACGAGGAAATTGCGGATCGCAACATCCATAGCCAACGACTTAACAAATTCAGCACAAAATACGCAAATGTTATATCTGCTGTATACCAGGAAGACGTAGCGGACCGTAATATCTTGCTCAGCGGTGGAAATACACATACCCGTACGATAGGGCCAAGCGGAGCAGTGTCCACGTGCAATTTAAGCAATAGCAGATCAGTGTCATCCCTTTCATACTACCAGGAAAGCTGGCCACGTTTATGGTCCAGATTGCAAGTAGTCGGGCAGCGAGCACCATTAGAGGAGAAAAGAGCAGAATTGAGAGTTATATCTTCCGATCAGGACCTGCGAAGCCATCCTCTATCATACACACCAGAAGATGCTGGCGGCAGTCCACCACGCAGGATAGGCGTCAGGCAATATATCGCTTTGCGATTAAAAAATTCGTCGCCGGCCCTATCCTCTAAAGGACCAGAAAATAGTGCTCCAGAAAGAGCACCGCAACCCCAATTAAAAATGTACAAAGTCACGCCTGATCGCCCACCATCTGCGAGAGATGCCGGCAAAGCACCCAAGTTGAATCAGAGCTCAATCAATTCACCGAAGCAGGAGGAGGTTAAGCCTGGAAACGATGTCGCGAAAAAAGCCGCACTCAAACTATCACCTGGCAGCAACACATCCAACAGCTTATTATCCCCGGCCTCAGCTAATCTATCCACAAGGAAAAACGTTCGTGATCTCTCTATTAATACGAAGCTAGCCGCTCCCACCAAAAATTTCGTCAAAGTACCTAGCCAGCCATCCGACATTCCCGTCGCACCAGTTAGACGGGAGCCAAATGCAAGTATTGCGGAGATTGTAAACAGCCCTCTTCCAGTTGCTACTCCTTCTATGGTATCTCCCAAAACCCCGAGCTACAACGTCGAGGAAATTATGAGCATGTTTAAACATGCCTACATCTCATCACAAAAGACCAGTCCACATCCCACTTTCGAAACCTTGCAAGATGCCATTGTTCGCGAGATAAATTCCCATGAAGCCTTTCGCCAGGTTGCTTCCGAGATTGAGACAATGCCGTTTCCGGAACCTAGTCCAGCTCCGATTCCCATTAAACATAGTGGAGAAATTCATGGCCACATGAGGAAGAAATCATCATCAAAGAGTTTATCGGGGAGAGAGAAACAAACGCTGAGACTTGTTGGTAGAAGCTCCTTCGCAAAGAAGCGACGAAACTCATATACCTCAGGAAAAGAATTGTCGTTTCCTGCTATTAAGGGCCTGGAAGGAGGAAGTGAACCGGACAGCAGCCACCAGGAGCGAAGGAGAAGGCATACTTACTCGCAACCGTTGCCGCCAGTCGTATCAATTGCCCCTAAGCTCCCAGAGGAGTTACGAGAAGAGGCGAGAAGAGCCAAGTTGGCGAGCGCTGGAGATACCCCGCAGCCCAAATACGCTTATAAACTAATGCCCGATATCCGGCCCAAGAGTTCGCATAGCGTACGTTCTAAGGGCCATCATTCCAGGCCGGGAACGTCTGATTCTTCGAAACAATTGCAATCGCGTCGTCCTACACCTATACCTCAAAATGCCCAGCCGGAAACGGCGCAAAATACGAACAGCCGAAGCATTCCTACCGAGCAGACGACATCTGAAACATCCAAATATGAATCAGATCACTATAGGAATGGAGAAAGTGACACCCTACCCGGCTCAACGAACACCTCATGCACTACCCCTGAGCCTAAAACTATGACCTCCAATTCGCCCCAGCAAATCACTCAAAAGGCGCCCATTAAGCGGCTATTCAGCGCTTCCCCCCAGCCACTTGGCCGGAATCGAATACCTCTACGCCGAAGTAGTCTTCACAAAGACCTATTTGACTCTGGGCGGTTTAAGCCGTGACTAAAATTTTAGCTGAGCTCACCAATGTCTATAACTTTGAACTCCAGTGACGAACAACTTATTTTACGGCTCGAATACCAGAAACTCCTTATATATATTTCTTAACGGAATTACCCAGTAATTGTAATCCGGCGCATCTCATTCCCTCCACCGAATTAATTTTAATTGTCAACCAAAAGCGGCTTCCTTTGGTGGCCTTATCAGCCTCAATTCCTGCCACGCCCTTCTTCGATGACATGTCTCCGATTAAACCTCATTCCAGCACACTAAGCAACGGTCGTCACCCGCTTTATCTATATACCCCACGGAAATATCCCAAAAATAACGAAAAGATTTCTGTGATACATCATTCCAACATTTCTTTTCCATATCCTACTTCCATCTCCTTGTCACACATCCCATCTCAGTTTCCTTTGTCTACTATGATCACTTACATAGCCTTACCTAATTCATTCACTACTCGCCATTTTCCTAAATTGTAATAAAA